CCTTTTCAATCCAAGACCTAGTAGATGCTAAGAGATTAATTATAGGACGTATTGAAACCATTTATTACATATTAACAGTAATTTATAGTTTTAAGGAAAAGTCAATGATATATACCATCTAGAACACAGTACATGGTATAGTAAATAAACCTAAAATTTCAGATGGTACCATTGCTCCTTATATGATTGTATGATACTAACGGTTTTTTTTAAACGATAATTGACACATGATTTTTTTTTTACATTTATTTGATATTATTTTAATTTTAATTTTTTAAATATATATTTTTATAATTATTTTAATTTTGTAATATGTATTAAATGTAGGTAAATATTTATCATTTATAACTTGTAACATTTTTAATCCATTCTTTAACACATAGATAAGCCATTATGAATTGAACTACGATGTCGTTATCAGATGTAAAGTAGGTATCAATCACACACCCATTATAAGATGAAGCTATTAGAAACTATGATTGTGTTTTGTTAACATTGTTAATTATGATTGATTAAAACTATGATATGGTCTAGTTTGTAAATGTAAAACACACAATCATGCACTGTGTGTCTTGTTGGAGAGGGTACCTATCTAATGGAAAAATAGGATGTCGGTTGTCCCATTCTTTAATTGGAAGGTGGAGTAGTTTAGGTCCAAATCACCTGTAACTGTTCCCATGTTCTTCCCTGCTCCATACCCTGGGGATAGAGACTGGAATCTGCACTGGCACGCAGAAAAACTTAAAAGCTTGCATGATCAACTTCGCATTCACATGGGTTATAGCAGAGTCTGCATGATTGAAGTTCAGATGCAATAAGACAAACTAGGTTTCTCTCTTCAAACACGCTTCCAAATTCAACTTTTTTTGTGTTTCATCTCATTCACATGGCCTATAGAATGATTGAATTTGATGATGCAGTAAGAGAAACTGGGTTTCATATTTTCGAAACACAATGATTGAATTGAGCTTTTATGTGTTTCATCTCTTTAAATTGGAATTTAAGAGTGATTTTTAAAAGATATTATTCTAATGAAATCGATACATGTACGAATCTTATGTAAATTAAACAATGTAAATTAAATAATACATCAACATGAATTTATATATACATAAGATATTTTTATTTAAATTTTTTAAAATAATATCAAAAGTAAATAATCAAGTATAGAAAAGTGAACTAACATTGATCCCTTAAATCGAAATAAATAATAAAGTTTAAGGTTTGAGGATGAAAACTCAAAATAGAATTAATGTTTTATTCACGTGAATGAGAGAAACGTGAATAAGTTTATTCACCAAAAGCTTATTTTGCTAACATATATAGACATGTTACTCTTATGAGGTGCCATACTTACAGATATATTAATTATTAGGTCACACTCAATCCATAACCATTACCAAAATCAGGTTTTTGTCTCCATTATATGTTCATTTGTAAATATACTTAATTCTTTTATTTATCATTTTCATATTGATTTATTAAGAATAAGCGTCTTTTCCATACGTCATACTTCAATATATATATATATATATATATTATACAAATCTCACTTATCTTCAGCAACAATATAGTTAATTAAAGAATTGAAAATGAAATAGTATTGAACAAGGATGGAACAAAAGAAAATGTTGATGTTCCGTTTTGGTGTTAATGTATGCAGTGTGGGGCTCCATGCATGTGGGTGCTCGACTGGTGGTAAGCTGGTGTATAAATAACATAGGTTTGAAGTAAATTTCAAAGTGGAACTTTCTAAAGTTAATAATAATATTTAATGAACATTGTTACTCGTAATCCTGTGCTGTAAGATGTCAATTAAATGTTATATTTCTCAACTATTCAAATATAAATTTTGAGAGGATGGTATACTATGTGTGAAATATAATATTTTCATGGTAGATGACAGAGTAAACTTGCGCTACAGATTAACCATTTCAACTTTAAACATCAAGAATCTTCGGTCAGTCAATGCAACGACAGATTAGGATGATAATAATGTTAATGTGATCTAATATATTTTATCAATTATCTACTTTATGTGCATAGAAAATACTTTATAGTATAATTTAAAAATAAAATATTGACAAGAATGGGTGTGTGTGTGTGTTTTGTTGACTATTTAATTAATGGGACACTGAACAAATATAATTTTTATTAGAGGTTTATAATAGTAAAGTTTTTAATTCAGAAATTGGAAACGGCTGGGAATGGAAGAATAATCGAAGGTGCAGTACCGGTGTTGACGGGAAGGGTTCTCATGATTGAAAGATAAAGATGGTAGCAATCTTTATCTACCTGGAGGAGATCATGTGCACTTTTCTAGCTTCAGCTTTGTCTCTCCAAACAAGGGATTAACACTTCTGGTCAATAGCATTGTACACAGAGGTGGAATAACATAGTTTGCATCGTGCAAGCTGGAGAACATATTTCATGAGAGTAACTCCGCTAGCCATAGATATAACTTACTATTTATCAAGTCATTGGTTAATCTTTTACATTATGGCAATGAAGGTGTTTTTATTAAGCTTTCATGGTAGATGGAAACCCAAAGGTGTTTCTCCAAATCCACGATGCATTGGTAGCCAATGTTAGAGGAAATGTCTCTCTAATTTGTCACTTCATATTTATTTTATCAGCGATGATTTTGGATGAAGAACTCTCACAAAAGTCTTGGATGTTTGTTTCATAACACATACCTGATCTTTGGACTCTTCAACAAACAAAATTAAGTCACCGACAAAGCTTAAGTGAGAGATTTATAAGAGCTGGTTATAATAAGATTTATAATATTTGATGTGTGGATCTTTTCAACCAGAGAACAAAGATCTACAAGGAAAAAGGATCATTGTCTTGTCCCTCTGTTAAGAAAGAAAAAGGTTGAAAAGCCTCCCCATTTCAACATGTGTATGGATATGCAATATTACTAAACAAAATGAACAAAAATAATACTATTTTGTAAGAAAAAGATCTCTAGATTCAAAAGGGATCAAATGAATTTGTATCAGAAAACAAGATATATAGCATACCTTCTTTCCGTATTGTATATCCAAGAACCAGCCTCGATCATCTTCATCATGCCATGAATTTTGCTTTCTCCTTCTCAGTACGTAACTCCATGGGAAAAAATGGTGTTTGTAACTTCACAACTATATATATATATATATATATATATATATATATATACACACACACACACACACACACACTTATTCACAAGGCCTTAAGTATTCACAAAATTTACAACAGTTCTTATAAAAGAGAGGAAATACAAGCAAGTTTGGAAATAGCTATTTGTAGCGGGTAATCTTTTGGTTGTAAAGACCATATTAGTTTAATCTGTATTTTAAATGAAGTCATAAGTAGAAGTTAGTAAAAGTTAAGGCTAGATTTAAAAATGTTATAACGATTCATTTAGGGGAAAATATCGATCAGCGGATATTGAACAATAATGTTGAAAACGAATAATGTACTCAAAATTTATATATTTAATTATCATTATTATTAATAGAAAAATAGTTAGATCATTAACATCATCCTTAATAATGGATAAAAAATTGAATTTGTGTATTTTTTTTTCATTTTCATAAGTAGTTTTTCTTTTATTAATTTTAAAAAATAATTTTTTTTATTTTGCATAAATATACTTATTAGAAAACATATTTGAAAATAAAAAATAAACTATCAAAATCAAGCCATAATTTAAATCAAATTATAAAAAAACATATAGTAATTATTTTTTTATTTTATGTTTATAAAAATTTATTATATATAAAAGACTCATGAGAAAATGAAAATATCAAACTAACATTTTAGTATAAAGTGGAAAAAAAATTACTTTTGTTCTTCGTAATGGAATAAAACGTAAAAAGTGATAACAGAATAATAAGTCTATGTTTATCTTTTTATTTATTTATTTAGAAACAAAAAGAAGATAAGAATAAAAAGTAAACATAAGAAAATAAGTAAATCAATAGAGAAAAAAATCTTAACAATTTTTTTATTATTTGTTATATTTAATTTTATGTTTTATTATTTATTAACATCGAATAACGTTTTTTTATAAAAAAATTTAAAATTTTATCTAATTTCATTCTTATACATTCTCACAGAATTTAAAAAGTTTTTGGAGGGATGGCAGCATCTTCACAATTTCAAGAAGATCCGCTCCCCATGCCAATCTGCCCAAGTTTTTCTTTTTCTTTTTCTTTTTCAAGATTAATGTCCTTCCTTGTATATCACATAAGAACTCGTTTGTGAAATATACATGTGATTCAGTAGGTACTCCATGCTCAGAATGTCTTGCTTTATTGAAAAAAAAAATGTCCATTCCCAACGACACAACACTAATAAGATAACCAGACGGTAATATGGCCTTCTTCTACCTGCCAAACATAAATCTGAGTAATGTTCTTAGGTCTTCTACCTGACAAACATAAGCATGAAAAATGTTTTATAAGGAGTGAACTTTACTTCAATTCAACTTATAATAAAATTCGTTTGTACTGATATTATTTTTAGTCATGTAAATGGACGGTTTGATATCGGTTCGATAGGTGAAATAATATATCCATAAATTTGATTTAACTTTACAAAAAATAGTTTATATTAAAAGGTTTACTCCGTTCAAATTTTATAAATTAGTCTATTTTTTAGTCGACGAACTTTCAACATTTTTTATTTTTTATAGCATAATTTTAACAGCAGAAAAGAAATTAAAGAGAAACTGTTCGTTTTATAAATTAAAAGTGAAACGGAAGATAAAAACAAAAGTAATCCTATTATTATATTAAGAATGTTTTTGAATAAAAGTTACTTTAAACGTAACTAAAATTTAACTCAATGAGATAAAATATTTGTTTGAGATTTGTGCATGAGAATGTGTTTTCATTTAGCAAACTTCAAACTGCATTTTATATATATATATATATATATATATATATATATATATATATATATATATATATATATATATATATATATATATATATATATATGGCGACAACATTATTACAAGGAAAGTGATAACGACAGGAACAGAAAATTACAAGGGAAGTGAGTGTGATCTCATGCAAGTGTAATCCCTTTAACCCAACAGGTAATGCCCTTGTTCCTATTATTTTCCCTTCCAATGATTCTCTTGAGTTCATCAGGTTGGCAAGGGATTGCAAGTGCTCCCACCTGAGAGAACCCAAACTCTTCTTCAGCTTGCTCTAACAACTTCACAAAGTCAGGGTGATCTAAATACCCCAATTCAATGAAGAATCTCTCAGGCTTCCACCCTCGAGTTGCAATCACCACAAAATGGCCCTGCTTCACCCCTTTTGAACGTGAGAAAGAGGTTTGTAGTTTCCTCATCACATGCACCAGTACTCCAACCCCTCCCATCCACAGTCCCCAAGAACAAGTTGTACATGTTTTACCCATGCCCAGACAGGAACAAATAGTAATAACCAGAACAAGTTTTTTTGGAAGTTCTTACATGCAACGCAGGAATATATATAGTCGCATGTGTGGCCAAAAGATGAGTGTGTCAGGTGACAATGGAATTGGAGTTCATAATTGCATTGGGGTGGGGACAATGACATGTGAGCTTTCGTTGGAGGTTAATTAATGTCACTGCTCCCCTCATTTTGGATACCGAGTTAGCCCCATCCTCAGATGCATCTTCTTTCAACTCACTACACGCAAACAAGAAAAAAAACATACGCAAGGAAGACTGGGCAAAAGGTACAATACCATTTCAACTTCCCTTCATTCAGTAAGGGTTTAGGGGGCCTCTCACTTCACACACGAAGGAACCTAACACCATCTTTAAAACTCTCACAAGAACCATTATCACTATAAAAACTTTGGTCATAGATACTGCATGTTTGGACGCACGCTCCATACACACGTAATCAAGGTTCAAAAATCTCGATTTTAAGTGGAAACAAGAGTATATATATATATATAGCTTTTGGTGGATACCGCCAATGGGATGAGTCAAAACAAACATCGTAACGTATTTATTATAAATCATTGATTTTGAATTTCAAAAGTAGTTTTGGATATCGTAGAACTCGTTGTTTTTAAGTACAACTACAACCATATGCAGGAAACTGCAACTTGAATGCATATGATTTATTCTCGTACTATAAAGAGTTGAAACTCAGCATTGACCAAGGACGTGACCGAGCACATTTTCATTGCATGCTTAAATGAAGAGAGCAATTATTAATATGGGGTAGAGAAAAACGTGTTTCTTGCCTTGCATTACGCATTACTTTTATTCTTTACCTTGGGCAAGAATGTCCTCGACTATAGGAAAGAGTAAGTTGAAAATTATCGCTACCTATAAGTTAATGTGTATTTTATATGGACACCATTTCATCTTTTTCACTCACATATACTTTCTTATGCATCGATCACATGCACATGTATATGGCTCTTTGGGTAAGCAGTCCAAGGAGAATTTCAGTGTAGTAAATTCTTCGGAAAATTTATTTTACAAACATATGCAGACAAACTAGCATTTGAATTGTATTACAAAGTAATCCCCTTTTTTATTTTACCCGGAGGACCCTACAAGTAACAGCCTAAAAGCTTTGAAGAATTAAATCAACAGAAAAGAAAAAGTTCTATTCAAATTATGTTGTGAATAGTGTTTGTTTCAATACATCAACATGTACTACTGTATGATTCATCTCAACCTGAGCACATTTGGAAGCAGAACAAAGAATTCTTGGCAAATCTAATATTTAATCAGTTTGGATACAAAGTTAAGAGTATTTCTAAAGAAGTTCCAAAACACACTTTTAACTTGCACCAAAGCGTGTTTAGGAAAGGCCAGACATTGTTTATTTCAACAGAAAATTTCAACCCTTACTGTCCATTAAAAGAAGGCCCCTGAAGTCCTCCATCATCATCACGAGTAATGGGAAATGTGCCTCCTGCTGCTAGCTACTAGAAATTCCTGTAGTTGTGTTAAAACATCTCTCTGATCAGAAACAGTTTCTAAAGTAATAGACACCAAAACAGGAATCCAATCTCTCTAACCAGAAAGATGGTATGCATTAAACTCAAAACTTAACTCCTGGAGTTAATTTTACCCCAAATTAAGGAGACAAAAGAGAGAGACAAGTAAAAATAACCTTTCATAGAAGAAGTGATGGAACGTGCTGGATAATTAATTTTGTTTCTTAACTAACACCTGCGTGATAGTAACCTTAACCTACCACCAACATCCCCCACCCGAACACAGAACAGGAAAAATAATAATTGCAAAGGAAGAGGTAACGACTTAAGTTATTTCAGAGCCCCGCATCGAGAAGGTGAGAGATGTGGAAATTGTATGGGTGTGTATAAATAGAAGTGGACAGGGCACGTGGCAAAACACGATCTCAGGTACATATGTAGCCGTACATGAGGGGGGCAAAAGTATTTTGATGGTATGTGGTACAAGAGGGTACGTACAGGTGACCTATGCAGTGTAGCTTTATGAAAGAACCAAAACAATAAATTAAGAAGATTGAACTCACCATTTTGAATGAGAATTAGTGGAATATGAGGTGAACAAGTTTGGCGCAGAGAAAGAAGAGCAGTAGCAGAAAGAGGAAAAAAAATAGCAAATCGCAAGAGGAAGAAGAGAAGGAGTGTGATGATTATGGAAATCGGAGAGTCTGCCCACACCACCAACATAGTTGCGTAATATTTAATTACAGATCATGTTATTAATTTTGTTGAATTCAATTGCAGAGTTGTAGGGATGTCAAACCTACTGTACTGGTGGTTGGAAGTTGCAGGGATGTCAAACCTTCATTCCAATTATCTGGTGAAAAATAATACTCTTATCCTTCCAGTTTTTTACTTTTTATTTGTAATCATACAGGTAATATTATTTTCTAACTTCACAAATTTTTACACACTTTACAATTTTTTAGTTAATTTTTTTAATACTTAAAAACTCCTAGACTCCTAAAAATAGATTATAAAGTAGTACATCTAGTATTAAAAACAAATTATTAGATAAATATACAAAAAGAAATTAAAGAATAAAATAATAAATGTAAAGTGTATAGAAAAATTTGTTCAAAACAGTACTTTCCTATCCTGTATTTATATTACAGCCATATAAATGTTACACTTTTTATAGGTTTTTGCAAGGTTATGGGACAGGCCAGAACTGTAATGGAATGGATTGCATTATTATTCAAAATTCAAAATACAAACTCTATGTTTCAAGTAGTAGTCGTAAGCTTCGTGTAAATAGTAAGTTATATAATGAATTTGAATAAAAAAATCATATGCTACGTTTAGAATGAGACTCCAGAAAAAAAAAAAACTTATATAGGTTAGTATTTTATTTTTTTTATTACTAGGCCTGTTTGGTATCATAATAAGATTAGGTTAAATTATATATCCGAAACACAAATTTATTGGGATACATGCTGAAATTATAGAAGTAGGGGAAGAAATGACCTGAAAATAAACAATCTCATCCTCGCCCAACTTGCATTGGGCTTTCAACTGTGGTATCTGTGTCATATCTTATTGGCCACTATTGACAAGGTGCAAATAGTCAACAAAACCAATTCTGTAGCCCAGTACTATAAATGTGAAATTGCATCAAAAGGAGCTTAATATAAAAATAAAGGCTTCTTCTTTCTCCACCCAAACTTTACTTCCTGCACCTCCATACTTTTCAAATTTTCAATTGTGCCTTCTCTTTCTTGAAGTGTCTAGGATTCAGTTTACAAATTTGGAAATATATTGTTTTAGGAATATGTTTCTAGAATTAGGTAAATGGTATTTATTAGAATGTACATTTCAAGATATTTTTTATCATTATTTGGAATAGTTATTTTGAAAGATAAATGCGTAATCTATTATAATATGTTTGATATTACTTGAAAATACCTATTACCCACTTATTTGTTATCCAAATTCAGCTCTTTTCTTTCATTTAATATATCTAGAATGGCGAAATATTATTAGAATAACACTTTCTAATATTTTTGCCGTAAATACCTTATCTGAAATGTTTTTTAAAATGTCTTGTTCGGAAATTGGGAAACACTTTTTGCCATTATTGCATAATGTGCATTCAAAAAGGCATAATGAGTTTTCTGTATGTTGGATACAATACAAGATTGATTGCATGGAAAGATACAGGATGAATGACTATGCAGGTGCCTCTTCAACATATATATTTGACTAATGTAGAGAGAGTTTTATTTTATTTGATTTTTTTAACTATTTAAAAGGGATTTTATTATATTTCTCATATTTCTAAAATCTAGAAGGTTTTCCTCTTCCCCTTCTTCTACGTCTACGTATTCATATAGTCATTCTTAGTGCACTACCCATTATGTACCCAATATACAATTCTTGCTTCGACAAAAATAGTTTAAAATTCAGACAGTGGGAAATGAAAATAAAAAAGTTAGGGATTTCAATTCGTATTCTCATCAACCTCTAAAAGTCAAAATTTGAAATAATCCATTCTACTTTTTCATCTCAAAAGTTCGTATTTTCACCTCAAAAACAAAGCCGTGCCCACAAGTTGGGCAAAATTTACTGTAACATCAAATTGCGACCAAAGTTAGGTCGAATGATTTTAAACTGAATCAATGTAAGTGTATTTTAAGAATTCAGACTTTTGGGTGTTTTGGAAAAATGTGTTGCCTTAAAAAATATAAAACTAATATATTGAAAATCCACATTAACTAATAATAAATCTCGATTTACAATAAATCAATTTTATAAGATTTAATTAATTTAAAATTCATTTCTTATCCGTCTCCATTATTAAATTTTTAACCAACCATCATAATTTAAAATATTTTAAAAAATTACATACGATGAAAATCAGAAGGCATGGATAAGAGACGTGCAAGAGAGGAAACCCACCATGGCGTGCAGATTCAAACTCCAGCACTGCGACACGTGTCGATGACTTGGAATGGACCCACCAAATCCAAATCTTGTCCCATGATGGCCAGGCTTAACTAAATTAAGATAAATAATCAAATAATAAATTAACTAAAACCTTCAGCTTCTAAACTCTTGACCTATTCATCCAGAACATTCCAAACCCCTTTAAAATCTGAAATTCCCAGTATTATTGTAATAATCATAGGAATGACAGACATGATCTATAATGTATGGATGTTTGTGTCAACATTTGAAACGAGTAACATGATCATAACCGACATAGTCCTTGGTGTCACAATCAAGAGTGAGTCATAATTGGGACCTCACTCGTGACTCACCTTCCTCTTCATTCTCACTTCTCAACACGGTCTCATTTCGTATCTTGTATTTCACCAAAATGTTGTTGCCAAAATCTCCTTTAACAGTGTCTTCACTTATCGTAAACTAGTTCATCCTCGAAACCGGACAAGTTGTACAAATCCACGTGTCACCTTTTCAGCAACAACCTTGCCTCGTATTCTGTACAATGAATGTCTATGATGTGTCTTCATCACCTAATCCACCATCCTTTCTTTCTTAAAATGTTAGGAATTCAGATCAATGAAACAAATAGTGAGCCACTTCACCTAAAAATTCCTGATGCAATTTTACAAAACAATCATCCAGAAAATAAAAAAGTCATCAACAGTGTATAAGAAATTTGCATGTATGTGGATAGATACAAAATATTTTATGCTTTAAACATGTTATAACCTCTGTAATGTTATTAGAATTCTCATACATTATTATATAAAACGGAAAAGGAAAGGTTCTTATTATTCTTTTGGGTGGATACGATAAATTATTAACAAGAACA